GAACTGACGCTCGATCCTAACTGTCAACTGTGCTGGGATTTATCACCTCGCTAAACGCCATTTAAACAAAGTCTCTAGCCACTTTGGCGCTACATTTAAATTCCAATTTCGGTTTGAGATTTTTGCAACGCTAAGAATAAACTATTAACCAGTTAGTTTCTGCTGTGAAACAGGATAACAGGTTTACCTTTATATTTGTTCTCACGAGGAACAATGTTTGCCATATATCTTACAATATAGCCTGTAGAATATAGTCTATTTACAGGTCGTGAGAATTATGTGATCTGATCTTCGTATGTACACAAAATCAAATATTTCATGTATTTAGTGACACGCACAAAATTTAAGACGTTTCGATTGACGTAAGACTTATTAATTAATTAGCCCATGCGTTTTATCTGCTGGTCATTGATGTCTACAAAGGGATAGACATTGTCTATCCCTTTGTAGACATCATTGTCTATTAGACATACTTGCACATACAAAGGATGATAAACATATAACTTATATTTGTATCGCTCAGTCTATTCGTATAAGTACCACAGATAAAAAATAAAAGGTTTTGCTGAAAATTTGCATTCTCGCGAACCAATATTAGGTTAACTAAAAAGTTGGATTCTCGTTCGGAAAACAACTGGAAAGTGTATTATTGATTATTTGGCTATTTACTAGATTTATTACAAATATTGGCTTCATGAAACTAAATGTGCGTATAGACAATATATAATAAAATAATAAGCATAATTTTTAGTCTTTAACTATTATTAATTATTAGTTTTTTAACGATAGCCGCCTTGGATACGTTCAGCTAATTGGCAGTATGTTTTTGTTATTACGCGATAAGCGGCAGTAAGACCTTCCGCGTTTCATATAAAATGTAAACAATCGCACATTTAATTTACATTTGTAATTGCGCATGATAGTTTACCTAATTTGATATAGTTTTTATGTAAGAAAAAAAAGAGATATCATTACGGCGCAATTTTGTCGGTACTCCAGATAGGTTACCCAGTTGCCAACTTTAATGGCCGAATACCAACCAGACGAAACGCAGGAGTCTAATACATCCACTTTACGCCTGCAACGACGAGCCTGCATTCTTGCAAACAGAAATTACTGCCGGCCGCTATTACGGTGATGTGGACCCCACAGGCTAATGCAGAAGTAATTTAACAACTTCTTAACGTACATCACATCACTATCTTCATACTAACATTTTCTGATTTTAAAGCGATGGGTTTTCGTTTTTTTTTTGTGTCAAAAGTTGCCAAACGAGCAGACGGTTCACGAGATGTTAAGTGAATACCGCCGCCCATGGACATCTGCTACACCCGTGGGTTGCAGATGCGTTGACAACCTTTTGAAAATTGGGCTCCGGCCACCTCACTAACCAGACGAAACGCGAAAGCATTATACTTTACGCCGGTCTTCTGTGAGATCGTGGTACTTACCCGGACGAGCCTGCCCATTCGTGCAACAGCCGAGGCTGCTGCGTGGCCCTACCACCGTAAGAAATTTCGTTTGCTAAACGACGGCCCCAACACGTTGTGGATGTTCATAGACGATAGACCTTAAGGTTCAACGCTGTAAACTGTGAAGTGGAACGCTTGCTTACCTTATAAAATACTAAAAGTTCCTAAGCAATCACACAGTATGTATGTATTAAGGCTTGAATAGTGAGTGAATAGAGAAAGGGCGTTATGACATACGATTTCAAGATAGCTTAATATCGTGTAATAGTATTGAGCAACACGCCAAGTTAAGTAACAAGGCCAATGCATACTATATAGATTACGCTTACTTTATTGAGCTTTTCTGGTTTTCATTTCAATTGGAAATACGTATCCGCGAGAACCTTACAGATTAGCATCTTAATTCAAGTTCTCGTTTAATTAGATCTACCGAAAATTTATGTCTCCTGGACTACCGATCTCTATAATACCGTGTAACTATAGAGACGGTTTCTGAGGTATTGTGATGATCACTGGTCGCACAATTGTGGTATAAATTGTATAACTTTTTATTCCTGACAGGTAAAAGAGATGAAACATAAAATCCTGGTGATTACTTATTGTTTTCCACGTAAAAAGTAAAGTAAAGTAACAGCCTATACATGTCCCAGTGCTGGGCAAAGGCCTCCTCTATAAAGAGGGTATCGGGGCATAGTCCACCACGCGCCCCACTGCGGATTGGCGGACTTCACATATCTTCGATTTTGCTTTTGTTATTATTTCGAAAATATGCAGGTTTCCTCACGATGTTTTCCTTCACCGCGTAGCACGTGATAAGTATCCTACACATTTTTAATGTAACTATTTTAGGGACTTTTTATCATGGGAAAAAAGCGGCAAACGAGGAGGAGGCTCATCGCAATTTTTTTTAGTTTCAACTCCCGACAACGTTTCGGAAACTTGCCGGCACTCGTGGTCACAGAGCGGACTGGTATATTTGACGTTATTATGCCATTGTCAACCCGGGCTACTGTCAGCTCTAAAATAATTGACTTACTATTTCTATCGTTTGTATACAATCTATTTCAGACAATATCTGAAATTCCCAACGTCGTCAAGCAATTAGCACATCGGAACATCATTAGATCTACCGACCTTTGCAGACCAATTTACAAACTTGATAGTTAGTACCTGGACTATTTTGCTTCTCTTATTTTTCTCCTCATGTTAACGAACTCTCTATCGAATCTGTTACATGTCAAGACTCCCGCTTGTTCACTTTTACGGACATTTCTACGCAGGGCCGGATTTAGGGGAGGGCAACCGGGGCAACAGCCCCGGGGCCTCCACAAACGAGGGGCCCCCTTCATTAGAGACTTCGGAAAAAATTTCAAATTCAGACTAGTAAACAGTAGTAAAAAACTTTTCCTTTCATATTTTACATTTTAGTACCTACAGTACATTGTACAAACATAAAATATTATCAGAAATCAATAGAAAATAACTTGGGTTCAAGGGGCCTCCATTCCTTTATTGCCCCGAGGCCTCCTAACATCTAAATCTGGCCCTGTTTCTACGGACAATTTCAATTCCATGTAAATTCGACTTGCATTCGTGAGAACCAGCGTTAAGCGCTTCGCAATACTAAAACTGTCTCCATTCGTATTCCGCGCGCGCGCGCTTTATTACGTCCCCGCGTCTGTCCGTGTGCTTTTGAGTTGTTTAAACGTACAACATTTGTAGTAGGTACGTAATTTTTTGCGTTCAACTAATCTGAGTCGTCTTCTATAGTTTTGACTTTTTGATTTAATGTAGAAGGACGTCTTTAAAATTTGTTTTCACCATTCCAGTAAAACCGTCACCGGCGCTGTATTGACTGCACTGGCCTAATTTCATTGAAATAATCCCGTTCATAGCAAATCAATAATCAAGCGTTTAGAAACTGACCATAGACGAGCGTCTCAACTATTTGGTAGGAACTTTGGTATACATTTATTCGCCTGTTCATTTCTTGATGTCCAAAGACACTTCAAATAGACCTAACCGTCATACCACTGTATTGTAGATGGCTTACTATTAAGAACTGGATGGCCTTGTGCCACCATCTCTTTGCCAGTAATGTACAGTCGCGACTAATGTACAGTCGCGACCGTTCGCTTAGGGAGCCTACTTCAATTAATGGGCGACGATTATTATGGATACAGTCTGTACCCGGGAGTAATGTGTGGCCATCGGCGTCCGCTTGACATTTGGCCCCTTACGAAAACCCATTCGCCGGTACCGTCGCGTCCAGAATGCGGTTCCGTAACAACGGTCGGTTTCATCAGAGCGCTTAGAATACTCAACCTTGGACACCACTAAAGATAAACCTTCGCTAATGTCCGATTAAAACTAACCAAGCAATTATAGCGTCGAAATTAATTAACGCCCGCCCATTAAGAGAATTAAGTCTATAGCAACAGATTGACATCTATTTTAACTATCGGGTAACGGTTAGACGGATATTCGTATCTCTGGATCTAAAAATAATAATTACGAATGGAAACATAATTTTAATTGATGTCGGATCGTTTGATAAGCAAATTTAATTTACTAAGATATTTTTATAATAAGAAAGTTTAACAGGTATCTCTAATTGCGCCATTGTTTCGTATACGGAAGTACTTCAAAAACCGGCCAAGTGCAAGTCGGAATCGGGAACGAAGAGTTCCGTATAAAAACGGCAAAAAAGTCATATGTATGGGGGCTCACTTAAATATTTTTTTATTCTGGTTTTTAGTATTTGTTGTTATAGCGGCAACCGAGCTACATAATGTGTGAAAATTGTCTATCACGGTTCATGGGACTGGTGACAGACGGACAGATAGACAGACAGACAGACAGCGGAGTCTTAGTAATAGGGTCCCGTTTTACCCTTTGGTTACGGAACCCTAAAAAGCCTTTCGAATTTTAGCACCCGGAAATATACTTGTCCCTTTCAATTAACGAGCGTTATTTGGGAAAACGAACAAAACAATTTTTTTTTAATCAAAAATTTAGCAAGCGACCAGGCGGTTCACCTGAATTTAAGTGATTACTCAACGCCCACGAAGTTATATAATCTACAATACCCGACGGTAGATCCGTTGCCAAGCATTCAAAAGTTAGGTCTCGGTTATCTCACTTTCTAGACAACGCGAAAATATAACACTTCCTCTTCACGAGGGACGACTCTTATGAGGCCGTGGTACTTCCCAACAGCAAAAGCTACGGCGTGGTACTACCACATCTTATATATATATATATATATATTTTTTTTTTGAAACTTTATACGTATATTTGATAGGTCTGAGAATTGGTCGTAATCTATTTTTCATTTCATAGCGATAACCTTAGGGATGGGTTATACTTGCTAAATGGCGTACCAGGTCTTAAAGTACCATCTCTAGCCCACCCCAGACATTTTATTCTACCCTACAAATTCCCTAGTAATAATTTGTGTGGCAAAACAACGTTTGCCGGGTCAGCTAGTATAAATATATCTTTAATGTATCTTGCCTTCCATTGCAGTGAACAGGAGGCACTTGCCCACTGCCAGAATAGTCCGTCGCCTGGAGCTCCACCACCAGGGGAACATTCGTTGCTGCTCTGCTGCTTCCGGGACCTCTGCAACCACGAGGACAGCCCCCTGGCGAGGGCCAGGCTGAACCTCACCAATGAGTTAGGTGCGTGAAAAGCCTTCATAACTTTGATGATCTCTCGGCTCAGTTACCAAGGTGTCGGCTTCGGCATCGGGGTTGTGGGTTCGATTCCCTCTCTATATCTGTGGGTCGCACAAACAGTTCCGTGTAACTGTTTGTGCGACCCACAGATTGTTGTTTCGTATCTTGGTCGTGTGTCCACGTGTAATTTGTGCTTGAAAACGTCGTTACAACACAGAATAATGTTATCCTAAAAGTAAGGGCAATGTTTAAACAAAACCCTGACGCCTAAAAAGAGTTTGAGGTCTTTGACGGTCGGTCGAGAAATCGATTATAATTGATTATTATAATCGATTTCTATTATTTTTGATAATTTGAGAAACGGAATAGGCTGTGCACGTGATGTTAATATTACCGCCACCGATGTAAGTATGTGCGTTTGTCAACGTTTAAAAGAGGCTACGGCTACCTCCCTCGGCGGACGAAACGCAAAAGTATACCACTTCCGACCTCGTTCCGTGTACTACTTCACCGGATAAGCTTGCCCGTTCGTGCAGAAGTGTGGCCATACCACGGTATACTAACGATTATAAAACTTAGATAATAAGACCCTAAGAAAGTATTTATATTTTTTTAAGTTAATTTAAGTGAAGAGTTGTGGCGTTCGATGCGCTCCTGTCGCGAACATTGCGAAACATTGCGAAACCACATCAATGCCCTAATCGCGATTAAGTCGAGTTCAATCATTCAATGCGTGTGAAATTCTGTTGAGTTATCATTATATGTTATAAATTATCAAGTTCATAATTATGATATGTTATTTATCACTTGTTGCAATTAGTTTGAACTATTTTGTTTGGTAGTTCCAGTTAAATCCATATTTTTACTCGTCCGATGAAGATCGCAAAGAAATTGGGGTAGTTTTGTAAGCATTTTTTAGAACTATTTGTAAAGCGGTTTTCTTATGAACTAAGTCAGTAATTGAAGAATAATTTGCTGTCATAAAAAATAAAATAAAGTAATGAACCCTGAACATATCACTATTGCTGTTTGTCACGATAACCGCTTAAACAGTTGCCACAACCTTGAGGCATCCATACTTCCATACTAATATTATAAATGCGAAAGTAACTCTGTCTGTCTGTCTCGCTTTCCCGACCCCCCCCCCCCCCCCCCCCCCCCAAAAAAACTACTGAACCGATTTAATTGAAATTTGGTAGCACAGATAGTCTAGAGCCTGAGAAAGGGAATAGGCTGTTTTTTGATTGGCAAAAAAGTGTTGTAAGTGTACCCTTGAAAGGTTAAAGAAAGATATTTATTTAAGGGCTTCAATGCGAACCAAGCCACGGGCTAAAGCTAGTATAACATATATGTGTATTGATCATCCCCAAAATATCGATTATGTCAACTTAATCGAGACTTGCATAAATAGATGGAATAAAAGTAAAAGAGGTGCAAAAGACCGAATTTGATAGCGAAATTTGATTTCATGGTCTGCTTACTATATCCATCGTCTAAAAAGTTACAATAGTCTAAGGCTACATGAGTGGTATAATGGATCATCTGGCGCAGTATTTATCGGCTACAACCACGGGTCGTGTGTTCGATTCTCGCTCAGGTAAAGTAACATTTTACCTGGGCGAGAATCGAACACACGCGGCCTGCAAATGTTTCTTCGTAAACAGCCTCTTTGCCTACGTTTAAATTGTATTCAAAACGCAACATAGCATAGTGTTAACCGACAGTTATGGTAATAAAATTTATTTAATGAAATGCGCACAGAAAGGTCAATTTTATTTAATGAAATGCGCAGCGGAAGGAGTATATAATAACAATCGTTATCAGTTACCATGGCATTCAAAAGCAAACCGGCGAAACTATCGTCGGTCCTAAGTAAATAATCGATAAGTTCGTAAAGTCTTCGTTTCGTTTTCGTATTTCGAATAACGCCGCGAACTCCGAACCAGCGAAACGGCCCCCACGAGCTCGTAAAAAAATTAATTGACTTTAATGTCTCGATCGAAACGGAGCGCGGAGGATTGCTTCGCGCAAAAATAAAGAATCGCCTCTCCGCCTTTTTAAATATGGAACGGTTTCTTTTTTTTTTTTCGATTTTCCTCAAGACTGTTGCCATGTTTCCAGAACGTTGTCTTTCGCGCAAACATTGGTTCTGTTTTTAGAATAAGTATTACAGTGTACATTGCGACTGCTGTGGCGTTATTTGAATATAATAACTATTCTGTCAATCGGAAAAGTTCACGATACAAAATCGATTACAAACGAAAATGACCGTGATGCGAAAGAGCAACTTGACTAACCATGTATATCTGAAATTGACACAAATTAAAAACATTATTAAAATAACATATACAAATTGAATGTTGTGCTCGGTTGTTATTTAAATGCAAGTTTAGTAATATGTATTAGTCGCAAAACAAAGGGGTAAATATTAGGGTAATATTAGAATGGCAAACGAAGTACCATCGATATTATTGAACAAATTAATCTGATTCGAGGAATGGAAACATCGCAAACGATTCGTTTAATTCGTTATCGAATAACAAATGGCCGAGCTAAGGTCTGCGCGTCACTAACGCGTCCACTATAAATTCCTCGAGACGTCAAGTTTCCTCCAGCGTTGTTTATTATTCTAGCGGTCGCCTTATCTTATTTAAGCAGCTCTCTGAGTCAGCTTGCCTATGTAAACTATTACAGCTCCTTTAGTCGGCGAACGTATTACAAGTGCCGACATAAGCTCGCTGGTTTCATTCGTTTTTATAACTCGCCGAGAACAATTGCCGTATAATCCCACCGTTGGGCGTGGGATTGATGTATCCGGTGATTCTATTGCAACCAGGGGCTAAGGAAGTCTCTTCGCCAATGCCAGAATTTTACTCTATCGCCAGCATTGCAATCATTGGTTATTTTGAACTTCATTACGAGCGTTAATATGGTCAACTGTATTTCGTAAGAATATATATTTATATACCACAGAAAGGATTTTCTGTACAGTAAACCCTAGTTTTTATCTAAGCTCATGTAAATGAAATATCAGCTCTCAGCATTAAAGTACAGCCAAGATGTTGGCACTTACATCGGTTTTTAGTAAGAAAAATAATAAATAAGTATATTACACTACACGCGGCTCATTATCCGGGCGCACGCCTTTAATTCAATATACTCGAGCAACCTGCGTTCGATCCTTAGTAGTAGTAGCACCATGAAATTGTTAATTTTAAGTGCTGAATTATCACCTGAGGAATTATCACGTGAGGAAACCTGAATATTTTCGAAATAACACCAAAAAAATACGTCGATTCCGCCAATCTGCAGTGGGGTCGCGTGGTGGACTTTGGCCTAATACCCTCAGTACGGAGGAGGCCCTTGCCCAGGAACGGGACATATATACGCAATTACTTTACTTACAGTACTAACACCAATGAAATAACGAGTATTCGATAACAGTCTGGAACTAAAGCAGAAAGGAAACTTGCCTTGCTCCTTATCACAGTCAATAGTGAACCAGTTCGATAGAAGTGCATAGCATGAATGGTACTTTGTTCGAGCCCTTACAATGTTTAATCTAAAGAGAGTGCACATAACATATATGTACATAATTGTTCAATCGGCAAACTTACATAGACAACAATTGATATAGTGCTGACTAACGTTTCAGTATTGTTAGTAACTAGCGATAGGTATTTGACATTAGCTCCAAAATACTTACGTCAAAGTTCTATCTCCAGTAAGCAAATCAATCTGTAGATTGAATATTGAAATAGATCGATGTGTTCAAATAAAATGGAAAATGAAAAAAGAATAAATGGAAAAGAAATATACAGTTTGAAGGAGCTTAGCTATATAATAAGTTACCACACCATGTCAAAAATTGTTCCTCTTTAACGAATTTAAAAAAAAATTAAAAATGTGTTTAATGGAAGGTTAAGCAATATCTTCAACACTTTTTAAATTGTTATTTAACATGTACTATGTAAAATTTTCTCATTGTTAAGTGAATATTGTAATATTCTTTTTTGACAAATTAACATTTCTTTGAACCTAAATTATGCCTCTCTGTATGTATTACCTGTACAAAATAGTTAAGAAAAAACAAAACACACATAATTGTTTAAGTGTAAGACCACCATTCACCTTAGAACAGTCTCTCATGTACTAGAAATCACAATGTCATCAATGAAACAATATTAAAGCTTTATTAACTCCCCGCATCAAAACTGCTTTATCTAGTATCTCAGATTTCGAAATGTAAAGACGTAAATAACATTCAAATCGGCGAAATCATTATATATAATGTTTTGAAATGATGTTTAAATGTCACTGCTACGCCGAAAATGAAATAGGACTAAGATATTTATATGTTTCATATTTTACCCGCGACTCCTCGTATTGAAATAAAATTTAAAATAATTACTACATTATGCGGGACGATACATTGTTTAAAAACTTTGTTTTTATTCTACTTTATTAAAAGGTAGCAACGCATCTGCAATCCTACCTACGGGTGTCGAAATGTCCATGGGCGGCGTTTATCACTTTACATCAGATGATCCGCCAACTCGTTTACCACCTTTTCACATAAAAGACAATAAAGACTCAAATTCGCTCAGCCGGCATGCAGAGTAAACTAACACTATAACATAGAACACCGAAATGCGAAAATTATTACTTAATTACCATTAGATTGCAAAGTTCGAAGAAATTACATAAAGGTTAGTCAAGCTCTAATTGAACTCTCTCAGTGCAGCCCGTCCACCCAATTTCCAGAAGCTTCCAGACCGTTGGAATTTCGAGTGCCGTCAGCAGACTACCTTATCGCGAACAGGCGACACAGGTCACGATAGCGTCAGCCGAAACTGCGGTGTCCCAATGAATGTCCCACGCGGCCGTTCCTAGAACGTGCTGGCTTCAATTAGGATGTACCGGGAACGCGTTTTGTGCAACGCAGTACGCCAACAAAGTGTAGGATGTCTTTTTTGATGCGGTACCAATTATCGGAAACAATTATATAATAATACTAGCGGAGTCGACAGACGTCTTCCTGTACACGCGACTTAAATCCGACAACAACTTGTAAATAAATAAAATATGCACGACGACCCGAATGGCGTAGTGGGTAGTGTACCTGCCTCTTGCGCCAGAGGGTGTGGGTTCGATCCCCACTACTGGAAAAATATTGTGTGATGAACATAGTGTTTTTCTAGTGTCTGGGTGTTTATATATGTATAAAATGTATTTATTTACAAAAGAAAAGTATGTTTATCAGTTTTCTAGTACCCATAGTACAAGCTTTGCTTAGTTTGGGACTAGAAAATGTTGTGTACGAATGTGTCCCAAATATTTATTTATTTATTTATTTATTATGCACCGAATTGTGAATATAAACCGTTCTCGAATCGACCTGAAGTCACACAAAAAAATTGCATTAAAATCGGTCCACCGTTTACGAGGAGTTCAGTGACATACACACGTACAGAAGAATTTATTTTGATTTGGAAAGACGTTTCAAGCCCTTTCCAGCGTTCGTGGTCATGGGACAGTCTGTCTATGTATAATATTCGCGTTAAATCAAGAAGTCAACATAATATGTTAAGAGTCAAACTCGGCTGTCGCGTTGTATGCCCATGAAGATTATTGTGGGTTAGTGGGGTATCGTACATGATAATTATAAATAGTTCATAGTTTTTATTATATATAGTAGTTATATAATGTACATATTCATAAATATATTAATAATACATAACAATGACTCTCTCCGTCCTTCCAGATCCGAACGGGGTGGCAACAGAGCGCGGCGCCACCTACAACAGCGAGGTATGGTTCAAGGCTGCCACCATAGCGGTGCCCGTTTGCGGCGCACTCATCCTGTTCCTGCTGGTAGCTGTTGCTGTCAGGCTGCTGAGGGCAGACGCACTGCTCCAGGCCGATCGGAAACTGAGGTGAGGAAACACTTCTAGAAAGTTCTCGGGCACATTGACACGTCTAAAAGGAGGCGTCCCCAAAAAATACATCTGTGCCGGTTACTGCGTGTACCACCGCACCTTTATGTCAATGTGGGATAGATGAGCTCATGTAAATTGGTTGGCGGTTTTAAATGTCTCAACTGAATGCTTTTGCACTAAAAAATATAAAAATTATAATTACGAACTAAAGTATAAAACTAGGTCGCGCTTGCAAGTGTCAATATGTCGTGTGTGCAGTTTTGTTATACAATAGAAAATGTATATATATGCTTTGCCTTTACGACATCGTATAAGGCGTATATACGGCTCCCGGCGCCGAAGTCTATTTATTACCTTTTCAACTTCGCCACACGGAGTCATAAAACAATTGGTTATCAAAACTTATCAATATAATTAACTTATGGGTTATGTAGTCAAATTGGAGGGCGGAATTCAAGGCTTAGAAGTAGCGACCGTAGTGTGATGTCAGTGCTAACGATCTCTAAATTGCCCGCACAATTTCTGCCACGCGGATGTGGTCATTAGTCGTGGCGGAGTGCCACAGCGTGCTGTTCGCCGACACTGGTTTCCTCATTTCACGGAGCGTGTTAATAGCGTCCGGTCTTCGTCGTGAATGTTTGGACTGCAAGAAATGCTTTAGCTAGGCCGCGCGGATATGATTATTCGACTTTTACATAAAGCTTGTGTAGAAGCGGACGTAGTGCCCGCGACATTCTCTAGCCGGCAACAGGTTATGTAGGGATGAAAGAAGTACGTGTAAACATAAGATAAGACTAGGAAATAAATACAATGTTGTTATAGTAGATAAGATCATTACAATGAACACATTTATATAGAAATATATATCTCGCTAGGAACACAGTAAGATACAAACGAGTTATTTCGTTGCGAAAAGAATTGATATGCGAGTATTAGGAAGGAATTCTTATTGCTTTTTTCCCGAACTGACTATTTATGCAGATAAAGCAACCAAAAGCTCATTCAGTATTGACTCGAAGGCTCACATTGTATTCGAATGAAAAGGCTATTTGGTGTTCTATAAAACTTATCTAGCGCTACCATATTTCAATGGCTCGGTGGTCGTTATTAGTACACGACAGTATCAGTACAGAAGACATGTTTGTTTTCGGTTGAGAAAATATAATATTTTCTTCTCGCAGAGGCGGCTATATGTCTCCAGCGCAGCATTGTCCCGAAGACGTGAAGAAGGTGTGGGTCGGCAACGCGTCCTCGCCTCTTCTAGTGGCCCCCGGCGGTTGCCTGGTGGCCGTAGAGAGGGCCCAGCTAGTCGACGCCCCCTCCGCGCAGCTCTGCGACATCCAGCGGTAAGCCCGCCGCCAAAGGGGCGCGCAATCTCTTCGGCGAGCTGTACCGCGGACTGACGACGGCATATACTGTGTCGGATTACTTGTGATATGAGGCTTGAATTGCGGCTCGCGCGTCGTCGCTGAAGTACTCCTCAACAGATGGCGCTGTTTTATCCAAACATCGCTGAAGATTTTCAACAGATGGCGCTGTTTTTATCACGACATCGTTGTAGTTGTACAACAGATGGCGTTGTTTTTACCACGATATCGCTTTAGTTTTTCAACAGATAGCGCTGTCAACGTTTCCCTATACCAGAAACAGATGGCACTGAGTCGTGAATTGTATAATCCAGTCATTTAAGAATCTGAAACGAGCTTTCGTTTCTGTCGTAATTGTCAACATGATACGCTGTCTAGTTCTAAACTTCGCCACTTCGTGGCGCTGTATGAAGACTGATTTTGAAACCATTTTTAAAACTTGTGCTATGATTGTGAAGAGAGAGGACTTTACACATTGATGGTATTTATCGGGATAGTTTTTTCGCGTCGGCTTAGTGTACGCTCAATCTTACCATTTGCTCTTATAATGCATACCGTTCATGAAACATATCAATGTGCATAGTCCCTCAAAAACCTTTAATTAAATTAGTGCCTTAATAGATTACCACGAAGAGAAATACGGTTGTAATTAAATAGGGAACTGAAATATATATATTTTTTTTAATATGCGACAGAAAATACTATAATATACATAACATACAAATTGGCGTTGTATAATAAAAAGATGGTGTTCAATGTAATGTTTAGTATGTTGCATTACAATGCAACTTCCCTTTTAAAATTTTTACGAAGTGCTACAGCTGTGAAAACAAATAAATTTCAATTACTTAGTAATAGAATGTTCGCAATTTTTTATGGTCTTGGCGTTTGCTAAGTCATGATAATTCACAAATTATTTTTACTAAAAAAACTGTTGCATTTCTATTAGCCTATTATTGAAATAAAAATTATACCAAATGTAGAGTTGCATCTTTAATCAAATATTTTTTTTCTGATAAATAACTTTTAGCTTACCTGACCTTAATTTTTATTATAGACAATTTGAAGGATTTTTATTCAAATATGTATTGTATGCATTTAAAAAATGAAATAAGTCAAATGTGGTTCATTAAATATATTTTTTTCTATTGATGAATAGCTCTCGTTTCAAACTCTAATTTTGTTCGTCTTTCAAATATTATTATGAACAAAAAATATATTGGTATTTTATAACAACGTTACAAACGCCTCAAAAAATGAATCTTGAAAATTATTGATCTCAGATTTTCACAAATTGAGCACAGTGTATTTTTTAAATTACTTGCTATTTTTTATAAGCGCTCTCGTGTACCATGATAACTGTAGAAAGTTTTCCCTTACTATTTTCTCAGTCCACGAAAAGAATTATAACTTTTCGTGTACTGACAAAGTAGTAACGAAATAGTGAATTTATGGGCTCTGATTTTAGACAAATATTTTCTGAGCAAGATTATTGTAAACGGACTTTTATGATTAAAAAAGTCGTAAAAAGAAAACAACAACACAATTAGGTAAGAAAAAAAATCATTTATTCGAAATTATGTTTTAAATATTCACGGAAGTAATTAACTCTTCCGTAAATTTCTCTCTATAGATATCTCTTTACAGCACGTATAAACAAGCGAAAAGGCAAGTCCTGTCGTTATTCAAAACGATTTTATTTCAATTGTTTTGTGATAAATAAAATACAATTTATAGTTTAAATTTTAACACAACTTTGAACCTGAAAGAGCTTAGGGACAAACCAATAAAGTCAATTGTTCGCAAACGCAATTCTCGTAAATAATGTTATATGTATCTAAATCGTGTAATTATATATTATTTATAAACTCGGTTGTGAGAACAACAAAATGTTACGTCACAAAGGAGTTGCCTCTAGGATATATGAAGAAAAATATTTATTAATATTATTATTTATCACACGAAATGAACTTTTCATTGGATGCATTAAATTACTTTAAGGCCAATATATAAGTCGATAAGGAATTTATTATTACTAAAAATAATGCTTTTACATTAAACTTTTATTGATCGTTCATTTTGAAACAGTCGCAAAGGGGTTTTTATGTAAAATTTTCTATAGTCTTAATATCTTGTGCTGTTCAATTCTCTAAATTCTTTCGACTTATGTAAGTTATAGTGAATGATACTGATTTGATGTAAATATAGCTTTGTTAAGTTGTTACCTGTTGTAATTTGCTATATGCGCTATTTATAAGTTGCAGTTCCACAATGTAGTCCACTGATATGTAACATCACCTAGTCTCTATAATCTGATTAATTTAATCTTTTATGTATAAATAACACATCTTTTTCTTGCATTGAACGTCTCTTACGGTACAGATTAATAAAATATCTTTAAGGAATTTCCAGGGGACAGATTATAAATATGTATAAGGAATTTTATAATCGGTAAATATTGTTTTTCAGTGTGATGCACCTTCAAAACTGTGGGATTCTTTCATATCTTCCCATTATTTTATCAATCATCGGTAATACAATGTATATAGTACCGTAACTTTAACTGGTACAGTCGTGTTCGCATTCGCTTGACGTGAGCCTTACGGCCCTGTGATAAACATTTAAGTTGGGTGCCGTTTCTTTTGCACGCGACTGTACCGCAAGCTTCCTTCGAGGTGCCTTACTTTTAACTTAAGTATCTATAAAGCTTTACACTGATACGGCAATTAGGTGCAAGATAATAATACTCCGTTATTTTAGTGATATATTACCTGCGGTCATAATGTAAATACTATGTATAAATATGAACGAATAAAATGAAATTATTTTATTACTGGATTGCGTGCAATTTTTTTTTATTCCCTACATAAATACACTCCTAAAGTGATCAAGTAATCGAGAATGTAGTGTGGTACAACTCCCGGCGATGATCTTCAATATTAATATCGCGTAAGTATTTAGTTTGTACTAGTGATGTAACGAATGTTGGATATTTCACATTCAGTCCAGCGAATGAATCCTGGTGATGAATTGGCTTATATGTTTTACACTATTCCACCCATTCAAAAGCTGTTGAATTGATAAACACTACAGTGACAATGATTTCATATACACAGAGCCATACCTAGAAACTAGACCAAGATCAAACCACAGCTTAAGTCAATGCAACTGACATTGTAATCGTAATTATATAATTATTTATTATTACACTTTTATGAATAATTATGGTTTTTGCGTTTTACACCACCGCTTTAGAATGGTCTACTAGCAACGTCAGTAATTGTCTCGATTTAGTTATTTATATAGTGACACAATCAAAAACTAGATTTACTTTACCACCGCTTTAGAATGGTCTACTAGCAACGTCAGTAATTGTCTCGATTTAGTTATTTATATAGTGACACAATCAAAACAAATTACATGCATACGCTGATGAACACATTTATGACACATTGACACAACATATTTTACTTTCCGACTTTTAAGAATAATAAACTTAAGATTTTGAACTAGTATAATTTCCAGTTAATGTGAGCTCATTATCGTGGCTGAAAATGGCAAGCAGGCTGTTGGTTCTCCTGATGTTAAGTGGTAACTGCCGCCCATGGACATCCGCAATGCGAGACTGCGGATGCATTCGCCAATCTTTTAAATAAGTGGGTCAGCGTCACCTCACTCGACAGGCGAAACGCAGAAGTAATACCTTCAATTCATGTTTCCTGTGAATTCGTGGTGGACCTGCCCATTATTGCAACAGCGAAGAGTGTTGCCTCTTGTTAGTCACTAGACTACAAAAAAAAATACTATTATGCTCAAAAACAAAATAATGAAAGTTTCCCTGCCTTTAGAATAATCCAAATTATATTTTGGGTGAAAAAGAACTTTAGGTACTGTGGTAATAAAATTCATAATATCTAAGTGTAATAAATATTGTTACAGATATGTAGCGTCTGTACCTACTTATTTTTCATTTTTAAAAAAATGAAAAATGAAACAATAGAAAAAACACAATTATTCCAATTATTTATTATTTTCAACCAGTTTTCAAGCGACTTCATAAAAGAGGATTTTTTTGCATTTGTTACCTCATAACTCCGTCATTTTTTGAACCAATTTTAAAAACTGGCTATTTTGCATTGGTTTCGATTTAGCTACCATGTGGTCCCATATTTAATTGGTATTAGACCCTTGAATACAGATAGAAAAAGCGTAGTGACTGAGATATTAGATACCCGGCCGCGAAACCGGAACACTCAGTTTCGAATCCACGAGCGCCGAAAGTTTTTGATCATTTGTCTACAAAAAATCTTATCCTATTAAACGAGCAATTCTTGTATATATATAATCGGAATCTCGGAAACGGCTCCAGCGATTTACATGAAATTTAGAATGTGCGTAGATTCGGGGGCGAAGAATCGATGTAGCTAGGTTTCATTTTTAGTACATGTACTTTTATCCCTGTTTTCAGGGAATGAAAAATATCATTCGAATATGACGGTAAATTTCACCGCAAAAAAAATGTTATAATAGCTCGGTCGGTAATCGGGCGGCCCCAAAACAGACGACCGTGGTTCGTATCACGATCACACTTATTTTTCGATTCCAGATCATTGCTTTCTTTATCTTTTATTTTTTGTCGATTTGTTATTTTGTTATTTTATTCCCTTTTTTTTAAAGTTCTTTCTTTTGTGAAAAACAACAGTTCATATTTTCTTATTATTACGTCGGTAAGATCGAAAAATATTATGCATATTTCATTACTTAGTAATTTGTATCTAAATATAATTTCCAAAATACACGATTTACCAAAAAAAAAAACAAACCGAGCAAAGCTCCGAGCGGTCCTCCAGGTACTTATAATTTAAATAAGGTAGGTACGAATCCCACGCCGCCGAATTTGTCTACAAAAAACCACGTTTTATGCAGTACTACGCAATAATTAAGTAAAAGACCCTGGAACCGATGAATATTTGTAACAAGCAGTTATATTAATATTCAAAATTGTGTTCGCGATAATATCTTCCGATAACATTTTAAGATAACGAAAATTCTTATGTCGTCTCATCTAGCGTTGCTCAAGTTGCGTCAATGTCTTAGAAAAACAAGGTAATATGAATACACAATATGTGATATAATTGATGAAACTTTTTCCAATAATATATTTATTTAATTAAATAATACATTATTGATTAACAATTACCTGGATGTAGCATCCTTATGTAGCTACTATTATTCCTTCTCTTAATGGCGAAAAGGAATAATAAATGCGTTATCATTTCTGCATAATAATATCTTACCCTATCATATTACGATATTATCGAAATTTTTATATGCCAAAGGGAAAGGAACTTGATTATATTGCAAGATTGTTATATTTTACTTATTTTATAATAAAGTTTTTAAACTTTCCAACCGCTGTAACGCGTATGTTCTATAGATACCAATTTGTCACGAAATTGTGTAAGAAAATATTAGACAGAAATCAATCCCGCACGTTTTAGATTATATACTATTAACACTAAGACTTAAAAAGCTATGCTTAAGCTAAGCTTTAACACAAGCAATTGACCTTGGCTATGAAAGGAAGAACTTTAAGTATCAATAAACACGACTTTAACTTACTGTGGTATAGCCAGCAGCGTACACTTGCATTATTTATAGTTATGTCTCTTAAAGTTGGCAATACGCATCTGCCAATGGTCGACGGTGATTTCGAATCGATGGCATCAATTATAATCAAATAAACCTCTTGCTCATTATGTATCTTCAAAATTCGGCACGACAAACAGTTTAAAGGATTACACTGGCATCAGATAAAGATTTTTTTTAAAAAAAAACTTTTTTTAAGTAAAATTTCTTTAGGCGCGATATGATAAGTTCCTCAAATCTTATTTGACGCAAAATCTCTTATGATATGTATCTGTTGTATAGCTTCAATCTTGCCCAGACAATAGATTCCATTTACACGACATGAAATATATTAAGTTCATGATCGGGTTGGCCACGCATCTGCAATCCTACGGGTGTTGCCAATGTCAATGGGCGGTGGTTATCACTTAAAATTGGGAGACCCGCCAGCTTACTCACATAAAAAAATAAAGGTTGTACTTTGCAATCTTAAAACCACCGATGAATACTAAAACGATCCAACATCGTTTTCCATTTATGTATTCATATTTTTCAATGTTTATGTTAATCAAACCAAAATATGTTTGATAATTGCTTAATTAATTAGGCATTTTTGTAAACACAGATCTTTATGGAAGATAATACACCATTATAAATATGTTGCACGTTTTGAACGCTGCAGTGTCTTGATCGATGTTCGTTGGCTGCTCCACCGATGGAATATTTGTGAAGCGTCATTTCTAAAATAAACTTGGACAACTTTAAGTTGTGAGTACTTTTATCATAGTGATAAGTTGCCAAGATGATTATTGATCACACAGTAAATATTGCAAAATTCGTGTTAAAATATAACTAAAATTATCTTCGCGAATCTTGAACGCTACTTCCGGGCCCTTCTTGCTTTGAAAGATTAAACCATTTATTAAGCTTCGCTTAGTCTTTACAAGTTACTTCTGAAATAAAAACTTAAGCTTTGTCATTGTTATCTACTAAGAGCAGAATTCTGATTATCTCAAGTTATTCACGCCCAAGAAACTACTAATTTGTCTGGCCTTATCTGTACCGTGTCTATACCAACATACTTCATACACTTATTTAGTCTTATTTTTTTCAAAATATAAAGCTAAGGTTTTATTATTCAAAACATAATCTTTTTATAACGTTGAATAACTTTTATTATTTTGCTCTTAATATTCTGTGGGTGACCATCAATTAGCAGCAAAATATAGCGTTGATCATTCCATGACCTAGTTTCTCAACATATTCATTAGGAACCATACAACTGATACAGGCAAATGAAAATCTATGTGATTATAACCGCAATAAATATGTACCAAATTTCTATTTATTTCATTTGATTGTATTCGTCGGAAGGTGAAGCACGTACATTTGTATCATTTATGATTTTGTGTTATTTACATTAATCGTGTAATATCAGGCCTTTTGTTTCAAGCTGTAACAACAACGTATGTTTATAAAGATCTTTATCATTTCGTTATAATTATCGTACTCCTCATAACATTGACTCATCTCAAAAGGGGAGAAATTACATAGTTCCATTAATTAAAATATTTCTTTCAGCACAAAATGACAGGAAAAGAAGCAGTAAATAATGTTGGGCGAGTTCTAGATTTTGCCTACATCACACTCTGGGTGGCTAACGCTAAAACGGTAATTCTTCAGCTTATTTAAAGTACAATCAAAGTTTAGCAAGACGATACGAATGGACTTTGTAGCTCATTTATCGCTATATTATACCATAGTACATGGTTGATTTTTTTTTAAAAATTAAGTGTTATAGATATGATAAACTGTGAAGTGAAGGCTACTCCTATCTTTGTTTTTTTATTTCACCTGAAAGTAAAGTGACTACCGGTGACCATAGACAGCCTGAGTAGCCAGCCGGATGGGATTCTATTGTGATTGTTGCTGGTCACCTCATGTATAAGGCGAAACGCAAAAGTATAAATACGTCTATTTTATGTCTATCTTCAGTAAAGTTATGATACTTCCCCGTTTATATAAAATAGCGCCTATACGCATATATGTGTTATTATTTTTATCTTAAAAGTATGATAAAAACTTAGTACAAAAGCTCTTAGATATTTGGTGAATATTATAATGTATTTGAGTTAAATATGAAACACATATTTCAGGCTTCAAGTTACTTCGTCACACGTTTCGGCTTTAAACCACTCGCGGCTCGAGAGGCAACGGAAAGAAATACGGTACAGGCCTATGCAGTGAAGTTAAACAAGGTAACAAAGCCAGAAATACTTTCAAGTATTTGTGTTGTATTTGTTCAATTATTTTAATCGATTTAAATTAACCGGCCATCAATAATTATCACCATAATATATAAATAATCAATTTAAATAATTCCTTTGTCCAACAATTTTTAACAGTTGTACTTTAAACTTTGGTGTAAATTTACAAATTTCAAAATTCTCTACTTTACATTTTGCTAAATAATTTGGAAAAATTTAAACCCATTGAGAAAATATTTCAGATAACAATCATATTCGAATCACCTGTTACAAATGAAGGGGAAATTGCCAAAGATTTGGCGGCGCATGGTGACTTCGTGAAGGACGTGGCGTTCACAGTCGAAGATTTGGACGAGCTGGTGAGACGAGCGAAGAAGGAGGGAGCCGAAATTATTAAAGACATAACAGAAGAAAGCGACGATGATGGGCTGTTCAGATACGCGGTGCTAAAGACATACGGTGACAACACTCACACGTTGGTAGACAGGACTAAGTACAAGGGGGTGTTGCTACCAGGCTACAAGACATCTGAAGACGACCCGCTGAACCAGTTACTTCCGAACACGAATCTAACATTCATTGACCACGTGGAAGGTAACATGGCGGACGGTACGCTAGAAGACACTGTCAACTGGTACGAGAGGAATTTAAGCATGCACCGGTTCTGGTGCGTCGACTACGACCACGATTTGGTGCCTTACTCCTGCATCAATTCAGCGTCGGTCATCAATCAGAACGAGAACGTTCTCCTATCGCTGAACGAGGCGGCTAAGGGACTCCGTCCATCGAGCAAGGCTACAGAGTTCGTCAAATCATTGGGAGCGTCTGGGGTTGAACACATCGCTTTGTACACGGACGATATTATCACGACTATAAAGAGTCTGAGGGCGCGCGGCGCGGAAATCCTCTCTTGGCCACCGACATACTATGACTTGATAGGGGAGAAGCTGAAAGAGAGCAGAGTGAATGTGGCAGAGAGCGTGGAGCTACTTAAAGAGCACGATGTCCACATAGACTTTGACGAGCGCGGGTACATGTTGCAAGCGTTCACTAAACACGTCCAGGCCCGTCCGACGCTCTTCCTCGAGATTATCCAGAGGAGGAATCACAGGGGCTTCGGCGCCATGAACTACAAATGGGTATTTGAGGCGATCGAACGCCTCGAAGCCTCCAACGACAAGAATGACGCTTAGCCTAAATCGCAATTAGATATCGCTTACGCGTCATTATATAAGCTGGTTCTTCAATCAAACAAACAATGAAGCAATGGTAGTGCGATTAGCTATAATATATTGTAATATAAACGATGAAATATAATCGTTTTACTACAGCACAACATCCTGACCATTATATCTTTATATACCTGAAAACTAGACACTATTATTCTCCGAAAGGCCAGTAGCATTAGTGGAACCACTGTTATGCTCAAGGCAGCGGTCCCACACATTTTCCATGAGATAAGCCGCTAGTTAATAAACAACTATTAATAACCCCTACTATGTAAAGAGATATTAATCATTCATACTAAATTCATGCAAATCAATTTATCTATTTGTAAACGTCATGAGGAAGCTCAAAGTCGCTCAGCGAGCTATGGAGCGGGCTATGCTCAGTATTTCTCTGCGTGATAGAGTTCGTAACGAAGACATCCGCAGTAGAACTAAGATAACCGATATAGCTCAGAGGATTAGCAAGCTGAAGTGGCGATGGGCCGGCCATATAGCTCGTAGAACCGATAACCGTTGGGGAAGAAAGGTTCTCGAGTGGCAGCCTCGTACTGGCCATCGCAGTGTAGGACGACCCCCACTAGATGGAGTGACGACCTGTGCAAATGTGCGGGAAGTCGATGGATGCAGGTGGCTCAGGATCGTACTTCATGGCAGTCTGTGGGGGGAGGCCTATGTTCAGCAGTGGACTTAAACAGGCTGAAATGATGATGATGATGATGATGAAACGTCACACGTTACCACGTGTTACCACTCAGTACTGCCGTACTGAGCAATAACATCTGCTCGTAACTATCGTAATACCTGAACTATTTTAGGCGCGTTCGCTCTTTAATATAAGCTACGTTATAAGATGAAATAAGAAATAAAAAAAATTTCAAGGAACAAAGAAATATCTTTTTTTCGAAGGTATCGTTGTCATACAAATATCGTTGAGTTGTTACCACTGAAATATTTTTTTTATCTGTAAAGCTTTACATTCATAATACACAATCGCTAGGTTGGTTTTACAATTATTCATTAAGAAATATGTCAATTTCGAATAGTTTGCATGTTAATTTCGTATTAGTTCGAATTGTCAAATTAATAATTAAATTACCGGATTAAGTTTTATATAAACTGTATGACTAAAATGATTTCACTATGAACGGCGTTGCCGCAAAATATATTATTGTTTACTGATTCTATTGCGCGTTTAGGTCTTTATAAATATTAATATGTTTTGAAGCTAGAACATGTTGAAAAACAAAGATGTAATATGAATGTAAGAATTTCATATATTAATGTATAAATGAACATATGTATAAACGTTTGCTACTTAGTACAAGTTATTATTAACTATATCAACGATACTTTAGAAATTATTATGTACTGTATCTAAATATAGAATAGATAGCTCAGTTAATCCGTTAAGCCGTAGTCTACCGAGGGCCTTGGGTTCAATTCCCACTCGCGAGTATTATTTGCATGATCCACGGATAATTGTTCGGGACCTGGGTGTTGTATGTGGTCGGTCGTAAAAAACAAGCCAACTCAAAATGATTCACATGCTTTGCCGACCCTACCTAGTTGGGATAAGGCCAGGACAAACCATAAGATTGATAGCCGTCAAATGTAATTAACTTTTGAACTATGAATTACTTATAAGCTTAAGTCTTAGAAGCTTCACGAATGTTCTGGACCTTTACGTCCCCTTTATGACATTAAGTCATTAATTTTATGTAAGCAAATTGTTAGTGAATCAAATATTTACCTCGATATACTTTCAACATATCGAAATAAAGACGTTTTATTGTTTCCGTATGCTGTTTTATTCCACTTCTCTATTCGATTGCTATGATGAGGTAATATTAGATTGTACTCTTTACCTATTGCATGCATCTTGATTTGGTGTGATGTGAGCAAAATGACCTTAAGATGTCCTTAAGTCATGTTATAGGACGCTGAGTTTTGGTTTTTGAAAATATAAGATATTTCATAAGTGCATACGTTAATTTTACCTGATTATATAAGGTAAAAGCAGCCATATACGTACTTAGAACATCTTACTCTTATTAGAAAGAAGTTCACAATGGGCGCCTAACGCTATCGTAATTTTAGACTAACATTTAAGACGTCATCTGATAATATTATGATATTATTACAACATTCTAAATCAAAGGCTTATAGAAGTTTCCAGCCCCACAAATGAACAACGTAGTCGTGATTATAAATGTCGAGTTTACGACCGCCTCAGACCGGATTCGAATTGAGTACAGCGTGGGGTAGAGACGTCTAACGAGCCATTCAAACAACAAACAGCATGCTGCATTGTTATTAAAACACAACCACTAAGTTTTTATTTCCATTTATATATTTCTTCTGCATTACAAATCAGCTTTAAAGACGAAGTACTTAGTTGCAGTAGCTTTTCCTAATATACTTTCTTTCAATTTTCCCATCACTTACTCAATTAATTGAGATATGGAAGTTAGTCAATTCTCTTCAAATAAATAATAGCATTTGTTAGTCGGGGGTAAGGTATCATGAAAATAATTAAGGATCAAAGCGGCACTTCTATTTTACTCATTAAATACAAATTATACAATCGATTAAACTTTAATCGATTATATTATATATAATCGATTATATATGCCTCTTTACTCTCATAAATTATTTTAAGTATTTCACCAAACATCGTGTTGAGTAAGAACTTTTCTCATATTATATTGAAGCATCTCAAAAATATCTCTACGTAAATTAACAACTTTTGTATGGGATATACTGTTGGGCAAAGGTCAAAAGAGAGTTTCTTAGGGCACAGCTCACCACTACGCGAATTTGACATATCTTCGAAATATTTTTTGCTATTATTTATAAAATATGCAGGCTTCCTCGCGATGTTTTCCTTTACCGATGAGTGATAAATCAACACTTAAAAGTTTAATTAACACTATCATGGGGCACCGGAATTTAAACTAATTAAATTTAAACAATTGTATTGTTGATTAATCAAAGTGATGTAAATAGCAATATTAAAAATGATAAACAAGTCAAAAAATCATTAAGGGTCGTGAAGATTCTGTACTAAACGGCCACGGTTTCAGCCGCGCCACCCCGTCTCTGTGCCTAACTTGTCTACCAGATCCAGTTTGACAACGCCACCACATTTGCATATTGCTCAGTCATTCTCTCACCTTGCGTATGAAGTGGACAAACATGGATACAACGTGGAAATATAAGATGTTTCTAATGAACAAATCTGATCTGATACCTTTAAACGAGCAATTCTTGTATATATAATCGGAATCTCGGAAACGGCTCCAACGATTTGCATGGAATTCAGTGTGCTGATGGTTTCCAAAATCGATCTAGCTAGATTTCATTTTTAGATAACGTCTTTCTCCGTGTTTACAGGCAGTTAGAATACAATTAAAATCCGAAGGTAAATTTCTCCACCATCTACGAGGTTATAATAGCTCAGGTGGGAAATCAGACCCTGGTACGAGTCCAGAAGACATTTTTTCCCTTTTATTATTTCCTTCTTTTATAAAAAAAACGAGCAAGCTCGGTCGTCCAGGTTCTGTAAATGTATATTTTTTTTTCCATCCGATGATGTTATACAGCGTGTCGTTACCATCGCGACATTAAATGAACACACATATAGGGGATAACTTTTTAAAGTTGTATTAAACATTTAAATTTTTTAAACATCAATATTTACAGAGTTATTAAATTTTCCAAAACAAAGAATTTTAGAACACCCTTACCTATAAAAAGTAACGTAAAGTTCATTTGTAAAGGTCACAAAGCAAATGAATGGGTTGAATGAATTTAAAATAGACAAAACATACTGTTAGAAGGAGAGGCTTGTAATACGACGCTGTGCGCGAGTTGTATAGGATGTTACAAATTTTGTTTCTTTTTTACTTTATTAGTTTCTTTGAAAAATATTTTTTTTAATTATGGATTTTGTTTAACGTTAATATTTTTTTATGATTATTGGCAAGTAGCGATAAACGTGTGTTCATTTATTGTCGCGATGGTAACGACACGCTGTATACAGTTTATTAAACACAATTATTATTAACAGAAGTGTTCGTTTCAGGTTTAAAATTCTGTGAAAAGACATAAAAATTTTCACTATAATTAAACTATAAGCAGAAATAAGATTTTCCAGCACGTTTCATAATTTTTATATTTCGAAGTGATACAATTACCTCCAATATTAACGTAAAGTTTTTGAATTTTGATGACAACTCGCTTCTTGCTTTAAATTCAAATGGAATTATTTTAATAAATAGCTAACAAGAATGATACGAAATGAAAAAAAAATAGATGTATCTTCTAAGGAACAAATTTCTTCAAAGCTTTAATTTTTATTTTTTCACGCTGGAAGTGTCAATAAAAAAGTTGGCGTCATACCACGCTGCTGTTATAAAAACGCCATTACAAAAGTTTCTGTGGGAGAAGATCATGTCATTGGTGTACTTTTAATTTAATTTTATAGTTTTCCTCATAAACATTGTGTTTTTCTGATCAGAATGTTATTCTGAAACCAATATTCTGTGGGGCTCGACCATAACAGGTTATTCACGTCGACGTAACAACACTACGAGTCAGACCTAAGCCGAGTACACACCTGCTATTTATTAGTATTTGGAAATCATTACAGATCCCTAGTATTTTTGAACTTTGTCAAAACTAAACGATATTTTTGTGGTTTACCCAACACCTTTTTTTGGCTGGATTAACCTCTGTTGACCCTGGGGAAACACGTTGTTTTGTTTAACTATCACGATTCATGAAATACAGCCTAGTGACTGACAGTCAGACAGACAGACATCGGAGTCGCAGTAATATGGTACCGTTTTACCCTTTGGATACGGAACCCTAAAACGATATGGATGCGTTTAATTGTGTAAGACAGATTACGTATTTTTTTTTCAATATAGGTACATCACTTAGCATTGTAGTTTTATGGAAATGCTATAGTTAGTTTCAGTTTGACTGGTTGATACATTTTATGTTCTGTTTATCTCCTAGTTAACGTATTAATTGTTAATTTAGTTGTTATTTATTTGTTTACATTGGTTTTTTGTTGATACGTATTTTTATTTTGTACGTTCACCGTGGAACGTTTGCGACGCAAGTGTGTGCACCACCCAAGTTTGTTTTCTAGCGGAGCGCATATTAAAAAGGACTACAAATTCCAGATTTCCGACACGAATATAAAACCAATGGAGGACGTTTTCTTTTCAGTTATCACATAGTGATTGGTTAGGGACACGTTTGTACAATTTTCGTTAAAATTTAGTGAACCTATACACAGATTAAACAGGAATGGTAAGGAATGAGTGCTCTGTTTTTGCTACCATTATGTAAACTTCTATAAAAAAAATCAGTATTTATGTGTTATATTTATATGTTTTATAAAAATATTGTGATTAATCACAGCAAAAAATGATTGCCTTGGTTTGTTTTATACACAAATTTCAAGTAAATAATTTTGTAGCTTTTACGTAAAAATATTTGTTCTCAAATTGATTTAAAACTTTTGACTTTTGTTACTTGCAGTGAATATTACCCTTCATCTAGGTTTAAAATAGTAATAAATATTTTAATTGATGCTCATAAATTAAAAAAAAATTCGATCGAATGTCTCTCTCTGTTTGTGGGTTTGTAATGGGATTTGTATATCACTTTCGTACCGTTGCAAGCTGCTTCTTCAGTTTCATCATCATTGGATGATCCTTTTTCAGTTGCCCACACTAACTGCTCTACCCTGACTCTAGACCTAACTTCGATTCGAAACTATTTTTACGGATTTATCTCAGACTATTTTACGTGTTAAAGCAAAAGTCAAATTGGATCTGAAATGTTTCGGCAGTACTTTGAGATTAGAATATAATTACTTTGAAAATGAAATCAATTCAATTCAATTTTTAATTCAATTTGTTTGGATAATCATTTGTCGATAATCAGTGGGCAGAAGACCATCCACTTGTTTTATATTACCGAAAGAGGAGGCAGACCTCTGTCTAAAAATCAAAATCACGAGTTATGTGACATTTACTGACAAAAACGAGCGCATGAGTTGTTGTTATTAATGTAAGTGATATTTCCAGGCCGTTAAAACATAGACTTTATACTATAAATTTTACAAGTATTCATGTATTTATTGTTAGAAAAATTATCGTTAGATAAATTTAAATGATGTGATGAGAAAAAAATAAAATGTTGACATTCTTTACAAGATTCAATTTTCGTATATCATCTAATCTAATAATGCACTAGAGGTTATTAAAGAAATTTTATTATCTATTCTTCTTTCTAGACTTCGTACACAGACAAAGGCAAGAAACCAGCAGATGGAAGGTTTTTGGCGTTCGACCACCTTACTTTCTGGGTTTCAAACGCTAAGCAGGTACGCTATGTCTACAGCTTGTCGTTACCATCGCGACAATAAATGAACACACGTCTAACGCTACTTGCCAATAATCATAAAAAAATATTAACGTTAAACAAAATCCATAATTAAAAAAAAATATTTTTCAAAGAAACTAATTAAGTAAAAAAGAAACAAAATTTGTAACATCCTATACAACTCGCGCCACAGCGTCGCATTACAAGCCTCTCCTTTTAACAGTATGTTTTGTCTCTTTTAAATTCATTCAACCCATTCATATGCTTTGTGACCTTTACAAATGAACTTTACGTTACAGTTTTATACGTAAGGGTGTTCTAAAATTGTTTGTTTTGGAAAATTTAATAACTCGGTAAATATTAATGTTTGAAGAATGTAAATGTTTAATACAATTTTAAAAAGTTATCCTCTATATGTGTGTTCATTTATTGTCGCGGTGGTAATATATAATTATGTATCTATATATAATAACAAAAATTTATATTTAGAAGATATGTGAAGTCCGCCAATCCGCAGTGGATTCGCGTAGACGACTATGTCCAATGCCCTGTACAGAGGTGGCCTTTACTCAGCAGTGGGACATGTATAGACTGATACTTTATTAGACCATAATGTACACTTTTTCATTACTAACGTATTTATTACCATTATTATATTTAGCATTTTAGTTATCGTTTCGCAGATGTGCAACACTTCTATTTTAAGCCGGCCTTCTATGTGGTCGTGGTACTAACCCGGGCGGACCTGCCCATTCGTGCAACAGCGAACACTGTTGCGTGGCCCTACCACCGCTGAATTGTGATTCCCACACGAGACAAGTATTTGTGCGACACATAGATAATTGTTTCGGATCTGGGTGTTTGTCCTTGTGCAATTTATTTTTGTATAACGCTTTTACAATACAGGCAATATTTCTAAAAATAAAGAAAAAAAATGTCAATGAGCGGCCGTTAGCACTTAAAAACAGATGAACCGTCGGCTTGTTTGCCTTCTGACATAATAAAATTATGTTACCGATTAATCTCACGGATCCTGTTTTTGAACGAGCGTTTACTAGTTGAGGTCTTGTTCTAGGCGGCCAGCTACTACGTCAGCCGTTTCGGGTTCGAGCCGCTCGCCTACAAAGGTCTGGAGACTGGTTCTAGAAAGATCGCTGCGCACGCCGTCAGGTTAAACAAGGTACGCACCGCATCACACACTGACTAGAAGCAAAACTGGACGTCGACCGATTAAAATATATCGGTTTCGTTCACGGGCGACAAAAAGGATATTTTAGAAAACAAGTTACGTTTACACCTTCGAACGGATTAATGAAAGCGCTATACATGTAGTAATTCACATGTTTTAAATAACACCATAGTACTAATGCAAAATATAATATGATCAGAGTTGGGCACAGTATCGTTAAGATATTTAAACAAAGAGGTGTTCTATCATGAGTCAAAGCAGTACTTAAAACGGGTCAGAGTGATTCTTATAACAATCTCGATTATCGTTGTAAAAGGATATTTTAAATGGTTTGTCTGGTGTAAAGGAGATGACAATACCTGCGCCATGCATTGCTCAAAATGCGAAAAAACAATGTAGATCGTCGCTGTGGCAATCAGCTGTTTAGCTTATCAGGTAGTTAGTTCGATAATTCAGGGTGTTCGATTCCAGACATTTCGTACATTTTAAAATTTGTAGAAAAATTACGAATAGATTGTCGCCTCTGTGGGAATCGAGCCCACGTCTTCGACATTCGCGGCCTGCCGCTTTAGCCACTAAGCTAAACGGCTGATCGCCACACCGACGAAAATCTTAACGTCTTTCTATCTAAATTGTTTTTTTGCATTTGAATTGTCCATTTTTTACAAATTTTAAACAATTACAACCACCCACTTGCAGATCGTGTTCGTCTTCCAAGCGCAGTACGAGCCGGAGGAGTCGGCGCTGGTGAAACAGGTCGCGTACCACGGCGACTTCGTGAAGGACGTCGCCTTCGAGGTGGAGAATCTGGACTACATACTGGACTACGCGAAGAGACAGGGCGCGGTAGTCGTTAAGGATCTATGGGAGGAGAGAGACGAACTGGGCGTCGTGAGATTGGCCACTCTGAAAACGGTACTGAATATATATTTAATCAATTATAAATTACGTCACACCGTCAATTATATAGTTTATCATAAAAAGCGAAGTAATTATAAAGCTTCTTCTCGATACGTTATATCTTCCTTCTCTTTCATGTAACGAGATGTCGATTATCTAATGACTGTCTGTGTTTCAATATAACAAGTAAGATAAAATATTAACCGTGATCGTTAGACAGTTGTAATTTTCAAAGAGAAAAAAAATTATTTAAGTGGGTCTCCCCTACAACAGACATAATTTTTTTTGTTTTTATATATAATGGTACGGAACCCTTCGTACGCGAGTACGACTCGCATTTGGGCGGTTTCTTTAAAATTATATTTACCTTTCGGTTTTAAAGTACCGGTAATACATGTAAATGGCAAGAGGCATTAACGACCATTATTCAAATGGCATCTCTTTTTCAGTATGGCGACAACACGCACACACTTGTAGACCGATCAAACTATAGGGGGTCTTTTCTACCCGGCTACGTACCACTTAGCCAGGACCCCATAAATAAGTATTTGTAAGTATGTGATACAAAGTCGCATACCTTCTATATTACATCGCCTACTATACTTCCACGACTTTGGTTTAGATAAATGTTGTACACACAATGTAAGAAAGTATTAAATAATAAATGGAAAAATGGTAATAACATTGCAATTTTATATTTAGTGGTTTTGTCACTTACACGTTGTCTAATCGCATGGCGCGTGTTAATAAAAGTGAGAGCAAGCCGCTCACAGTGAAATGGAGGGGCATAACGCTTTGTCCTTACTGGACGATTTCTACCAACTCGCACCCCTTGTTCCATTAATTTACAGGCCCAAAGTGGAGATCAATTTCATCGATCACGTTGTCGGTAACCAGCCCGACCAGGGGATGGAGGAAGCCGCATCGTGGTACGAACGCTGTTTGCAGTTCCACAGGTTTTACAGAGTTATTATTATATTAATGTTAAAGAGACAACGAACCAAAATTGTTTAGGGTTATATTCAAGTTAGAACATAAAATGATACAAAACAAAATTTGTTTACTTTTTTACCCGAATGGCGTAGTGCGTAGTGTACCAGCCTCCTGCGCCAGAGTGTGTGGGTTCGATCCCCACTACTGGAAAAATATTGTGTGAACATAGTGTTTTTCTTGTGTCTGGGTGTTTATATGTATAATATTTATTTATCTACAAAAGAAAAGTATTCTTAAGTTTGTTTATCAGTTTTCTAGTACCCATAGTACAAGCGTTGCTTATTTTGGGACTAGAGGATGTTGTGTAAAAATGTGTCCTAAAATATTTATTCATTTATTTGTCATTACAAAAAGACGTAATGCCTTAATGCTCTAACAGTAGGATAAACTTTGAAGAAAAACACAGATCCTAAACGATTATCTGCAGGTAACTCAAACACCGTGGGGTAAAACCCTATACATAACGCTATAGCCGCACCAAAACAGGTAATTTGGTGCCCAAACAAAAGGCTTTTGACGTGACAACTGAGTACAGACAATCGGTTAATTTGGTGCCACAATAAAAGGCCATTTTGCCCTCCAGATTCTGGTCGGTCGACGACAAGCAGGTCTGCACCGAGTACTCGGCTCTGCGGTCCATCGTGATGGCCAACTGGGAGGAGACGGTGAAGGTGCCGATCAACGAGCCGGCCCCTGGGAAGAGGAAGAGCCAGATCCAGGAGTACGTGGAGTACCACGGGGGAGCGGGCGTCCAGCACATCGCCATCAACACCGAAGACATCATAACGGCGGTAAGTTACACCGAAGTCCCATTTAGTAGTGAGAAAAAGCCTAATTGGAATTACAACAAACCTGTCCGTTTCTTTTTTTAAAGGAGCTCATTTAAAACGATGAAAACGAAACCTGAATTCTTACTCCGTTCTTCTTTTAAAAACAATTTATAAAATGACGTTTCACGTTTAATGAACGCCCCCTTAACAAATCAATTAGGCAGTGTATACTTATGTATAGTTTAGATATCTACATACATTCAGCGTAAATATTTAAAAATCCAAATCTGACGCATCATGGCTGTAACGCGATTCCGTTGGATTGTCGTCATCCAAAGCATTCCCCTTAGTCGCGGCTAAAGATCTTTTTAGTTTAAAAGTACATAAGCGTTAATTCTCGGTAAAGGTATTGTAGTATATATCTTTATACCAAAAGACGTCTAGGCTACCAAAAGTGGTCTAGATAGCGGCCCACGTCACGCTACGTTTGGATTGGTAAAATTGAATTATTTTAGAAATATATTTATTTATCAATTCGTATACTTCTTCGAGATGGACTTGAACTCTCAACAATTTAGTTGTTTCTCGACTAGCGAAAAAGCGAAACAGTGCTAGTTGAACGGAGAAAATTTGCCTCAGATCGAGAATCTTCGCGCGCGCGGCGTTGAATTCCTCAGCATCCCATCGAAGTACTACAAGATCATTAGGGAGCAGCTGCAGCACAGCAAAGTGCGTGTCGCCGAAAGCATCGACGTGCTGGAGCGTCTCAACATTCTAATAGACTACGACGACAACGGCTATCTACTGCAGATCTTCACGAAGAACACTCAAGACAGGCCAACGTTGTTTCTGGAGGTGATTCAGAGGCGGAACCACAATGTAAGTAAAATAATTTTAATATCGACAATAATAAAATTGTCGTTATATCGAAAGGAAGGTTGAAAAGAAACTAACATCTTATGAGTGTAAATTTGATATTAACATTTATGAGTGTATAGTCGCTGAACCACTGTCCATGCAGTCCTTATAATACGCTAGGGTTTCATTTCACCCGACAATTTTTCTTGTTTTAAAAATAAATATCACCTATTATTGGTAAGGATAGATTACGTGGTGTTGCAGAGGCGTATTTTTATGACATTTGTGTATAACACAAGTTATACACAAATGTCATAAAAATATTTATCGTGGTTGTTAGAATCTAAGCACGGCAAAAAACCATCGTCATAACAACCATTGATTGAAAAATAGGAAAGCATTTACTTATTAATTTGATCTTTTACGTCCGTAACTTTAACTATACCCCATAGATAAGACATATATACTGGTATATGTGCTATACCCTGACTTGACAACTTAGTTAGGTTAACTTTAAATGGATTATTATTATTACTATTCCCAGATGTTAATAGGCCCAAGATCGATCCGTATAGAGAATCACAAAAAACATTACCCAATACTAACTAGGTGAAAAAAATATCGCAATCATAGCGAAAAAAGGGCATAAGTACTAACCTTATTATGTAACAATGGGTTATTTGAAAAAGAAATAAAAAATATTTATTTTTTTATTTTTTAAGGGCTTCGGAGCTGGCAACTTTAAAACACTCTTCGAATCCATTGAACTGGAACAAGAAAAACGCGGTAACCTTTAAATTTCGACATATTTTCGTGTTAAATAAAAATTATGTAACATGTATTATTACTTATGATATATATTTCTAGTCTACCATGAGGATGTTCTAATGAATAATTTATAGCATAGATATAATACATATACATAAGTAGTTTTAAAATAACTGTAACAAGCTTTATGGATGCCAATAAATTAAACCATAATTAAACAGAAAATTCTGTTCGTTTTTTTTAATATAACCTATAATTTGATACAAGAAATTGAAAACTATTTACTACGTACTGAAATGAACTTTCGCAATATTTAAATACCATTTATATCATTATGGTTTAAGATCCGGCTGCAGGATTGCTATTACTACTTATACTACTATGTATATACCAAATTTAATTAATAAAATCAATTAAAATTCATAAAAAACAAAAATCAATTAACAATAATTAAAATTATTAGCGGCCACATTTTGATAGGCAACCCGGTAAATATATATTCTTTAAATCATTAATATGCGTATAAAGTCCTGAATTGTCTCCTGTGTTGACGTCCGTTTCGCCTCTCCGTTAAAGATTGATATAATACTTAAAAAAATTGAAGCTGGCTAACGTATAGCCTGTATCAAAGAAAGGCTGCTGACCCGTCAACTATCGCCTTATTTCAATAATCTTCGCACTCTGTAACATTATGAGCGTCTTCACAGAGCAAAATGATGTTCACAGCGACCACCAATGATTATTTTGCCGAAATCGGACGGCTGGGGATCTTATAGTGTATGCCTCTCACCTTTGCGGTGGGGCTATCGAGGAGTAATTCCGGCATGCCGAATTCTTTTTACAGGATTTAGGTACGCTAACCTTATAAGTAACCGTTCAGCGTACGGAATATCTCTTGCCCTAATGGGTTGGTGAAGAAATTTTTGATTGGCCGTTCTGGTTTGTCGCCGATCGCAGTACTTCTAAACCTGTGACGACCGACGCCTGGGTTCCTCAGGGGTCTATCCTCTCCGCAACCTCTTCTTGCTGCATATTGACGGTCTGTTGATGCTCGACGGCTATGGACCAGTAACATTTAAGCCGTGGGAAAGAGAGGCTATTGTATAGCGTGTGAAATTCACATTGTAGTAAATTTCCAATCGGGGCGATGACAATCTTGTGGCATTCAATGCCACCAAAATCGAGGCATCTTTTCACTGAACAAACGAGCCCTGGCTCCTACTTACGAAATGTACCGATAGGACTCTCTGATCGCCTTCAAATGTTGGCTGTTCAAATCTCAGTTGTGGCCGGGTCATAGAGTAAAGGGCTGAAGCAGCAGCTAGGAAGATGGGGGTACTTGCCAAGGTGAGGCGATATTGCACGCCAGGACATTTCTATCCCTTTATAAAGCTCACATCACCCTTACAATTGTGCGGGGCCACTCAACAGTTATCTCTGTTGCACGAAAGGGGAAGGTCCGTCAGTTTTTCCATTCGATTATGTATGTGTCTTCAAGGCAAGAATGAATGTTACCGAGCTGATACGTTTACCATCTAACGGTCGGTTTCAATATTATCACTACATATAAAACAAAGTCGCCCCGCTGCTTTGCTGTCCCTATGCATGCTTAGATGTTAAATAAAAAAAAGGTTAGCTTAATAATTACAGCTATCAAAATTTACTAAAATGAAACAATATTTAAAAGAGTATATCATTTTATTTCGTTAACGTTGAACAACGTTAATAATACATCGTCGCATAACACCGATTAGATAAAAATACGACGGAGGAACGTATTTACAAAACATAACACATACTAAAGAATAAAATGCACATTATTTCCAAAGAAAACCTGCGCAACCCTTTCCAATGGCTGAAAACTTAACGCATTTGCCTTTTTTCATATCAAAATAGTAAAAAAAATCTTTTAGTTCCGTCTTCTAATTTAAGTAGATTATGATAAGAATCGACATATTCCAAATATAATGTTACAATAAAAGTAAAATTAAAAATGCAAGTGCAAAAAAGTTTTCGTTCACACCATTTTTGTCACATAATTTTCGACAGCACCAAAACATTAAATCACAAAACCGACCTCGTTAAATATAATTAAATATAATTGCAATGCAGATTCCTTGAATAAATATTCATATTAGATTTGTTTTTCATAATTTATCTAAAAAATCACCTCTATATGCTACCTCAAATAGGTTTCTAGTTGGGACATGTGACTGAATATTAATTATGGATAATTATTGTATATTATTGACGAATGTAATGGCAACATCCAATTAAATAAAGGCATTTATAAACATAAATTTGTGGCAAAGATTAAGCTAATCTACTATTAATTATACAAATTGACAAACTAATTTCAACTTTCGATTTTATTGCAGTTAAAATATTAAAAATACAGTAGGTATATTAGTATCGTTTTCGTGTTGCAATATTTGTAAAATTTAGAAAATATTGATACATTTATTTAAAACACTTCACTTTCATTTAGTCATATATTTATGTCCAATGTTCCGCACATACAACATTCAGTCTTATAACGATCTAAACAGCGTCTATAATCGCATACTTTTTATTGACAATATACGAATTCATATTATGCAATTTCGTTGTAACGATCCATCGTACATAGCAAATAGTTTTAATAATAAAAAACATAGTCTGGATGATTTATTATTAAAAAAAAGTTCAGTATGACTCTGTGAAAAAATCAAGTCTATAGGAGCAGATGCTTGTTAATGTTATAGTTAGATTTTAGTAATCGTTAATTGCTAGGCGATAGAAGATTTCGCCGCGTTTCATATAGAAAATTAATGGAAAATTTTCATTTAGTGAGATTTCAGTGAGTGATATTTCACTGTACTTTTACAGTGAAATATCACTCACTGGTTCAAAACATCATAATAAACATATAAAATATATACATATAATGTCCCATACTATAAACCTCTGATCACTTGAGTTCGAGTAAACTTTACCTATTTCAGGGAGTACATTAAAGTTATTTGCACAAATGCGTAGGTCATGCTAAAGAAAGTAATACCTGTGAATTCTAGGTTCAAAATAAATCCAAAAGTGAGTTTATGACAGCAACTTACAAATAAACCACACTTTGTATACAATGTTTACATTTTAAACATCGGTTGCAAACTATTTTACAAGTTGCAATAAGAAATACAAGTGCTTTGATGAAAAACAATATACAGTTAAAAAAAACCGCCAGCAACATAAATGCAAACGATGCATGCAAATATGTAGTTCATAATACTATTCTTCATTCAACTATGTGATTCTATAAATTTGAGAAATATAAATGGTGTTTGTGTAAAATTAAAACATTCCAGAAGTATATAACAATTGTTGTAAATACATAACAGATTCAATTGTCATCAGTTAATGTAACATGTATGGAATTAAAATGTGTATACAGATATTAAATATGGAGTATTAAAACTGTCAATAAAGTATATAGATAGGTAAACAAATATATATATCATGAATTTCCATCTCCGATATAAATAGTTTCATAAAGCGATGTGGAAAAGTCTATTACATCGCATACACAAAATCAAAACACTAGAACCGTCAAACACTTCACACCCATTATAAATAGTAAGGGTATGTGCAAATTATGGTGCGCAATTCGAGAGGCGAGCTGTTGCTCTAGCGACAATTTATTTTCGTCGAATATTGATTTGTGTGGAGATCTCCCGCTGGGTGCCTAAGGATTATGGTGAGGCACTTCGGTTCCCTCTATGTCCCCTGGCTCCACCATCTCAAAGTCCCTGTCCGTCGACGACCGCTGACTGTTCTCCGACTCTGATTCTGACAGTTTGTCCACTGCTTGTGCCTCGGGAAGGTCCTCTCTGCAAATCATATTACATCATCATCATGTCAGCCTGTTCCAGTCCACTGCTAAACATAGGCCTTCCCGACATCCTGCCACATTACAATCCTGAACCACCTGTCCTGAATTTGCATATTTGCAACATATTACATCTATGTTTGATATCTCACAGTTATAATTTGATCTCCATATGTGAATTTCACCACAGCTTGGTGGATTTACAATCCATACAGAAAATATTTTAAGTAGCCAGAGAACAGATAGAATTTTATGTAACTTCGGCATCATGTAGACTGGAACTGTGCATAAATAAAAACTTATATAAAATATGTTATAAATGAAACTTTAAAATTTTAGAGACCGGGAACCCACTGTTTGATAGCAGATTACTGTGTGTTTGATATTGACTGTTTGAACGCAAATAATAAACTTTTATTTTATATTTTTTTTCTATGTATACTTTAAATATGATGACTCCATGGCGTAATTGCCAAGATATTGGCTTCGTCGCCGAGGGTCGTTGGTACGATGCCCACACGGGACTATTTGTGTGGCACACAGATAATTGTTTCGCATCTGGGTGTCTGTCCGCGTGAAGTTTACATATTTAAAACGTCCTTACAAGTTACAATACAGTACATTGTTATCCTATCGTAAGGGCAATGTTTAAAAAAAATAATAAACCCACTTGGTTTCCTCTTGGTGCGCGGGCGCGTCATTTTCGCCCGTGGGTTCAGCGGAGAGAGGCGTCTCTTCGCGCGGAGCGTCTCCGGTTCGATTCTCGAGCAGCGGCGCCTTCTCCTCGGCCTCGTCGTCAGACTGCTTCTCTTTCTTGCGTTTCTTCTTGCTCTTACTGGCCTTGTCGCTCTCGGAGCCGGGGCCGCGGTACTCGTACTGAATGCAGAGTTCAAAATCCGTTGAATGATAAACTCTCTGAATTGAAAATGAATGGTCTGAATATTCACTTCACGTTACCAAAAGGAACTCATGTTTGATGCCATTTATTGTTTTATACGGAGGGAACCCTTATGTAAAGTTTTTTTTTTGCGTAAAGGTTTTTATATTTCTTTTATTAATGTACCCTTCGTTATAAAGGCCATATACAATGGCAATATGGATGATGTTTTCATGCTGTTTGCTAGCAATAAGGAGGATGGTTTGGTGATGGATTTAAAATGTCTCCAATAATGAGGATGCTTTCCCTCACCAAGATCACTAGTGTCTATTCTAGGACCTCCCTAGGCCCCAGGTCATATATACGCGGTCCAGATCAATTTGAAAAAAAAGTTTTTTCTTGTAATCATCGCCTTGAAGGACCAATTGGGCTTTATCTCGCACTGGCTCCAAATCAGGCAAGTAAAAATACAAAAAAATCCGGCTAACCACATCGGATACCACGTAAGCACCGTATATTAGACGTACCCTTATATAGGGGCCAGAACGAAGCGAAGAATCCCACGTCCTCGGTGAGGTTCGGCAGCAGCCAGAGATGGTGTCTGGAGAGAGTGAGGACCCAGAGGAGACAGAATACCACCACTCTCAACACAGCGAGGCCAATGATCAGCACCAGAAAAGCAGCCGCGGCGATGCTCAGATAGTACACGCCTTTGCTGTGGTGGATAGAAATTTATTCTTTTATATGAATCGTTATAACATAAAATAAATATAAAAAAATATGTGTACTTCTGTAAGACGTTATACTTCTTTAGAGTAACAAAATTAAATACAATTGATATGGGTTTATGTAAATAACCCGAAAGTATTGTATCGGTTCAATGAATGAGTCAATAGTTGGTTCAATTATTGACTCATTTATAAATGTCCGTCTAGCAGCAGTCATTTATCTATTAAACTCATGTAAGTTTCATCTTCAGTGTGGCCCAGCACTAAGAATGAAAAATAAACATAGATTGAGTATGGTGCAAACTCTTACCGAACGGTGGCCGGCCACAGTGGGAACATGCAGATGGTGATGGTACCAATCACCACGAGGGTTCCACACAGCCAGTAGTACCAGGGCATTGGATCGTATATCCAGACGTAGGCATCAACGGTGTCCAGGAACACTTGGTCCATGTGCATCTCCAGTCTAATCTTGCGCTTCTTCTTTTCTTTGTCTTTGCTCTCCTTCGTTTCCTGGAATCGGAAATTTCCCCTTTTTAGTCTTTATCTTGATAGCTTAGTGTCCTGGCGCTCGAATTGAACTCTCATATCAAGAATACTTAGTAATCAAACCCTAGAAGAGCTGAGTAATATATATATTTTCTATCTTCTTTCTCCTGCCTTTATTCCACCTATGTAGGGTCAGCGCAAAATGTTAATAATATTGACAATGGTATTGGATAGGATTATTATATTAGATTATATATTAGAATAATAAATTAGATGATTATATTAGAACAAACACCCAATACAGGAACAAATATATTTGTGGGTCACGCAAATACTTGTCGTGTGAGAATCGAACCCACGAGCCCCGACGCCGAAGCCAATAGCTTAGCAATTGCCCCAATTGGTCAGAGTTGTTTATCATTGCATTCTATAAACATTCTTCAGGTGCAATGTGGTTGTTATTGTTTCAGAATTTGCAATAAAGGATGTAAAAAGACTTTGTAGAAGCTATGCAAAGCATGTCATGCATACTTTTTATAGCCTCTACTAATGTCTGGGTATATTACAAATAGTAGAAATATGCTAGGGAGAATAGCTGTAAGCTAATATACCCTATATTAAATAGTTATATGCCATAGTAGAATTAATAAAAATAAAAAATTCCTAAACCTTTCCCTCACAAGCGCTCGCTTGACTCTTCTCGCCTTCTTTTTCATCGCCACTTTTACTCTTCTCTAGTTCCTTCTTTTTGGACTTGCCCTTCAACTCCTGTTCGCTCACAGGCACCTGAAAACGTTCAACATCAGACGTGAATTTGAAAACAAGAATAAAAATCAGACGAAGCAGAAGGGTAAAGCTAGTTATCAATATTATAAAGAAAAAGATTTGTATTTTTGTATGTTTGTAGCAAATAAACTCGATGACTACTAGAACAATGTCAAAAAGTCTTAGACTATTAGAATGCTAAACCGTTCCTGAGCAACATAGGTTATAGTAATTACTAGAAAAAATTAGAAATCTCTTATAAAACTTCGATAATGTGAGCTCAAAGTGTAAAAATAAATGTCGACTTGAGGAAATAATATTCCAGGACCAACCGTGATAGCTCATTGTTCAGGCTCTCGCTTTTAATTCAATATACTCCAGCAACCTGAGTTCGATCCCTGGTACCGGCACCAATGAAGTTGTTTATTATAAATGGTGACTTATTGCATGCTCAGCGGTGAAGGAAAACATCGTGAGGAAACCTGCATATTTTCGAAACAAAAAGATTTATAAACAAAAAAAAATAATTCGAAGCTATGTGAAGGCCGCCAATCCGCAGTGGGGCCGCGTGGTGGACTATGCCCTGACACCCTCTGTACAGAGGGGCCTTTGCCAAGCAATGGAACATGTACACACTGTTACTTTGCTTTTTACTGTTCTAGTTACCTTTTTGGCTCTGTGGAACAATTTGTGAAGGAGCATCTGGTGCAGGAAATCGGTGACCTCCAGGCGAGTCGTGAAAATGGGACTCTTGCCGGTCGCCCATTTCGACGTGAGCAACGCGTCCACCGCCTTAGTGCCTGGAACGCGCGAACAATAGCAATAATTTACTGTGTTAGGTCACGCATCAGTCTATGCTGTTGCACTAATGGGCAGCATGTTGTTGAGCCTGTTGCTCTTCAACTTTTTCACCCTTTGAGTGAGGTAAGCACTGCTCACTTTATCAAAAGACATCTGCAACCCTGCTGACGTCTATGGCCGGCGGTATATTAATTTCTGATCGAAGGACTAGGGTGCGAAGACGCTGACTATACCTGATTTTAGTTAGGATTAGTGCTTTCATCTATGTAGACGGGAAAACGTTCAACTATATAGCATCATTTAGTTTACTTCTGCCCCTTGCATAATTATCAACAGTAGTGATAAATAAAATTATGTGTCCACTTATGAACGCAAGTAAGAAGTTGAAGTATAACTTCAACTTATTACGTGAGTTACAAAACAAAAGTGACTAAAATTTTTATCCCCTGCTGTGCCCGTACTCTTTGTTTGTGAAAAAGACATTAAATTTTTTTGATAACAGTTCAAATTGTTCAAGTTGTAATTGTAGGAAAATGTCAACGGTTGCCATGATAATACCGTAAAGATGGTTGCTTTGCAAGCAACTTCATAATGTCGCTATTTGGGTGTCAGTGTGCGCGCACATCGTAAAAAGTTTACTATCATAATTTTTTCAAAACACAGTAAACTTCAATAAACCTTCCGGTTCTTACTTACTAATAAACATGGAGGAAAACATCAAACATTAGCGTTGAGTTCAAACGATCAGTTTAAAAAAATCATTGTATCGAATGTGTTTGCAGTTATCGTTATTATTATTTCATAAGTAGGCTATGACAGATTTACAGTTATGACATGTTTATACAAGCATCGTTGTTGACATGGCAACTGCCTGCCGACGTTTTGTTTTCATCGGCGATACCATCTAACGTAACGGTAGATTAAAGAAATTTTAATCGGTCTATGTTGCGTACAGAAAATCTACCACAGTAGCATAATAACGTATATGAATTCTACGGTTCCAATAATTTGGAGACCGTGTTCGCGGATATTTTAAATATTTATTACCAATATTGTAGAATTATTTATTACCAATAGAAGTATTCAAACATTTAGAGATTTAGGCTTCTTTGATTAGAGCGAATATGTAAATTTACCATAGTTAATTTTCTCCATACTAATATTATGAAGCGAGATCTTTTTACACGCAATAGGCTCCCGAACTACTGAATCGATTATGACAATTTTGACTCATATAAAAAGCTATGGAAAATAAAATGAAATGAGGTTTTTACGTAGTTTTTAGTATTTGCAGCTTTGGAGGTTTGTTGTCATGCAAGCAAATGAAAGTTTAACGTAACTCAGATATACCCGAGCGAAGCCGGAGCAAACAAGTTAGTTCACTATCACGATAACCACAAATAATGTTTTCGTCAGAAAAAATTCAATGAGTTTACGGACGCAATTAACAATTTTTTATTCACATGCTCATTTTTATTCCGTTTAATTTACTTAGGCCACATAGGCGTGATAATTGGTTTCAAACAGAAAACCACACCAATTCGTTTCGACCGACTTAAAGAGTATGTAATGGATATTGAACGAATAACTTTCTCAACGGAGTCCAAAAACTTCAAGGCAAATAAACATTATACTTGACATAGGACATAGGTTTTTTATCATTAAATTTATCTTTCAAGTTTTTGTTATCTTCTTTGTTCTTATTTTCTTTCAAGTTTATGTTTAGTTTTTAAATACTATTTTAAGTGCTGACGTATCACGTGCTCAGCGGTGAAAAAAAAAAAACATCATGGGGAAACATGCAACAAAAAAAATAAAGATTTGTGAAGTCTGCCAATCCGCATTGGGGTTACGTGTTGGACTATGCCCTAATATCCTCTGTACAGAGTAAGGGCCCATTTACACGATGCCATTTTCTTGAACATACAAGAGCAATAATTGAATGCAATAAATTGCGCGCAATAATGGTTTAGACCATTTGTTGTTTAGACCATGCAACTCATTTATTGCTTCAATTTAATTGTATACAACAGGCAAGAAACTGGCATCATGTAAGTGGGCCTTAAGCCTATAGGCTGTTACCAATTATTATTATTATTATAGGAATATTTAATAGATTTCTCAGTTTGTTGGATTGTTTTCTGGCCGGTTTACTATTATCTTTCATTGCGCCAGTAAAATTACTAATATGCAAAGACCAGCCGCCTTTGAAACTGTGGAAATGCACTCTGGTTCAGTCAGAGGCGTCTAGTCTTTGTCTGGGCGGCGGAGATTCATCACTCACCGGTGAAATACTCGACGTGATGGTTCAGGAACTTGGTCTTCTTAGTGGGAACGTTTGCCTTCAGCCACTTGGCCACGGCGTACTCCTCGCTGGTGGGCTTCTCCGACTCGACTGGCTCCCCGAACTCCTGGAAATGAGATCCACGTAACTACTTACGATCCAAACTTTTGCCCCTGCGTATGTGGTGTGAATCAATTAAATGTCGAATTTTTTAAGGGAGAAGGAGGCAAGCGAGCTGACGGTTCACCTGATGTTAAGTGATAACCGCCGCCCGTGGACATTTGCATAGGGTTGCAGATGCAGTGCCACCTTTTAATAAAGTTGGTCCCGGCTACCTCACTCACCAGACGAAACGCAGAAGCATGACACTTCAACCTCAAGTTGGTATTCTGCGAGGTCGCGGTACTCACTCGGACGGTCCTGCCCATTTGTGCAACAGTCGAAATTGTTGCGTGGCCCTATCACAGATTATATAAATATTGATGGAGTGTATAGTGTTATATGTTGACTGTGGCAGAGCAACGTTTGCAACGGCATCTGCTGTACCAATGAGCCAGGTCGATTCGCGACATATCACGATTTCTCAGAAGAACCTCGTGATTTAAAAGTATTTATACGTCAGCCTATCGTCCGGTGAGTGACTCCGCTGGATTTCAACACTTCTTTTATATTGTCGAGTCCACGGACATACGTTGTTGGGTTGCCATTCTTTTGAAATAAAAAATAGATTTCTTGGAATATCAGTGCACGAGAAATACTCTCCCGACTGACTCCATATTTTCTATAAAAGGGTCATTAAGGGTATAATGTATAAGGACTATCCAAAAAACACTTTCGCATTTATAATATCGTTAGGGATGCCACCGGTTCCTGACACAAGTCACAAACAGTTTCGTTTGGAACTGAATTCATCATTGTATACAAACGGTTGCAAATGTTATTGAGACCAAGTTTAAAAACGTTATAAATTAAAAAATGAGTCTAATAAATATTTTATATACGTCGATTTGCAATTTTACTATAAACTACTTAATTCCGAGAACTAAACTGAAAACTAAAACTACTGAGCCGTGATAGCTCAGTGTCCGGGCGCTCGCCTTTAATTCAATATACTCGAGCAACCTGAGTTCGATCCCCGGTGCCGGCACCAACGAAGTTTTTAACTTTAAGTGCTGACTTATCACGTGCTCCGCGGTGAAGGAAACATCGTGAGGAAACCTGCATATTTTCGAAATAATAACAAAAAAAAATATTTCGAAGATATGTGAAGTCCGCCAATCCGCAGTGGGGCCGCGTGGTGGACTATGCCCTGATACCCTCTGTATAGAGGAGGCCTTTGCCCAGCTGTCGGACATGTATAGGCTGTTACTTTACTTTACTTTTACTTAATTCCGTAAATATTAATAAGGTCAACGAGGTGGCATAGATGTTGAGGACAACAATCCATGATGGATGCTAGTTCAAATCTCAGCATATTGCACAAATGAATTTCCGGATTGCAAACGCGATTCAAAATTCAGCGTATAACATTTTTCCGGCGTAGAACAACCTAACCTTTAGAATTTAGAAGCAGTAATTTTTCGTGCTCCGTTTTGATAAATATCAAGGCTTTTTATTATAGCAACAATTTTCACTATCTTTAATTTTAACTCCAATTTCCGTTACGTCATTAGATCATTGCAATGACTGTGATAATCAACGGTGCCGCCTGCAATCATTTTATCACCATCATTAATTAATTACGAACCTATTTGTCCGCAGAGGCACGATCCTAAGGGCCTTAGTAAACAAAGTGACGGACTAACTGGTTTTCTTGTCAAAGTAACGCAAAATATAATCTATTTATAATTAGACAAGGGCAAAAGAGCACTTTTCATCCAGGTTTGTTAATCGTTTTTCTTAACTAGCTTTAGTTTCATTAAAAAAAAGGATATTTGAGGTCTGTTAGGTCCAACAAAAAATATCGGTGTTCTAATAAATAGCACTTAAATCTTCCGTAATTATAAAAAAAATAGTTATTCTTGTTAAACCATACGATGGGAAGAAACTGAACCAGATATTTTCATTGTCAAACCAAGTAGGGTCCTTAAAGTGTATATAAAACGGATAAAGCACTCGAAATCTATTGCATGTCTCTCTTTTAGTTTTATCAAACTATTTGTCAGTACGTTTTGCATGTGCGAAATACAAAATTAACATAGATAAAAAATTTATCCAAATGGTCGGATGTCGTCGACTTTGATTATGTTCTTTTGCACTGCGTCTGTAATAAACTACTTACTTCTTGAGGTGATCTTTTTAGTTCGAATTTTAAATTCTATTTTTAGAAATGTACTCGCCAAAACGTAAGACTTTAAAATTAAAGAAAAAGAAACAAAAAAATTAAAGCATGAAATAAAAATAAACTATTAAAAATATCTCCGTTTCTTTGCGTTGATGTTCTTTATGGAAATATAGTAGACCCTTGCAAAATTGTGGTGATATATATTTTCTCTTATCACAGATAATGCAATTAGTTATTAAAACAATAATTGGTTTTACCACGAATTGGGTCATTTATTGTTTGAAGGTTGATTAAGTTAAATAATGTTTTGTTTCGTGCAAATTGTGTGCTGATAAGAAAAGTTAGATTTTATCACATCTAAGTTCATTAAGACATCGATGTGTTATAAGATAATTTAAAAGGAAAGATAATTTAAAAGCTATAATATTGTATATATGCAAACAAAACACTTTTTTCTTTTTTTTATAGTATTAACACCTTCCGTGGACCTTAAGGAACATACAAAAAAATAAATAAGCCGAATTGATCCAGCCATTCTTGAGTTATGCGCTTACCAACATTCATTTTTATTTATTAAGAAGATTATTGAGGAGTTTTTTTTCTTTTATTTTAGCAACGAACCATAAGTAATGTTGGAAATTAAAACCTAATCAAAGTTAATTTTTGCTTTAAACTGGCGTTCAAAACGTTAATTTAACTTAAAGACAGTGGAAAATATTTCGTGTTATAAATTGAAAGTAGCATTTCTAATCTTTGATCGATCAAAGCTACCGTTACGTGGGAAATCTGGCCTCAATTTCCTTTCCGGCATACAAACGAAACAAAAAAAAGGAAAAAATTGCGATATCCTTATAAATGTTGGGTCTTTAGACTGATTTGTCACTCGACTCGAATGGGGTGAACAGAGATGTGATTTTAGAGTTTCAAGTGTAAAGTAAAACAACTTCACCTTTACAAATGAAAAAAAAGTAATGTAAAGTAACAGCCTATAAATGTCCCACTGCTGGGCAAAGACCTCCTCTAAAGAGGTATCAGGGTATAGTCCACCACGAGACCCCACTGCGGATTGGCGGACTTTAAATATTTTCTTTTGTTATTATTTCGAAAATATGCAGGTTTTCTCCCAATGTTCTCCTTCACCGCTGAGCACGTGATAAGCACTTAAAATTAACAATTTCATAGGTGCCGGCATTGGGATCGAACTCAGGTTGCTCGAGTAACTTGAATTAAAGGCGAGCGCGCGGGCACTGAGCTATCACGGCTCACAAATTAAACGAGTCACAAATGAAAGACACTTTGCCAGTAAGAATTCGAAAGGTTTCACTCAAGACCTAACTCGAAGGACCGACTGAAGCAAACAGAATTTGAGCGGCAAATTTAATAAAAGGCATATTCACGTTTTTCTCTAACGTATGAATTATCGTCAAATTCAAAGCGCAACGGCACAGTACAATAACCCGAAGTCGAGACAGACGAAAGGTTGTACTTATAATAAATAAGCTGGCAGCTTGCCTGGCAATCGCACGTATTTTTATTGCGCCAAAATCGCCGGTTAATGGTCTCGCTTTGATAAAACCCACTTAAAATCGCACACAAAACTCAACTTTACGATCTCGATGAGGCGACAGTGTCGTGTTAATGAAATAAAACCTTCGCAAACGTCGACCCATTTGAATTCGCCCGAGACCAGTTCTACAGGACACTGTATTAGATTGTGCGATTAGGCGTTGAAATACAAAGAAAATGTAACATTTTTTAAAAATGGAGCACCACCCGTAACCAATTTATTCTGCTGGCCGTACGTAAACTCAGCATTGGAGTCTTCCCGCATTGCTTTAAGCACGAAATAACGAAACGAAATCTTAACGAAAGTAAACAGTCAGCAACACAGCGAGACGAGACAGTGTGGCAGCGAAACGATTCTATCATCGCGTGGCGAGTGCTTTAAAATAGTACACGTGAGTAGAGTTGGTCGAGAGGCGACTCAAAAGGAACAATGAAACAATATCCACTCACGAATTCCCCCATGTTCGACGGCGGGGCCGACTTCACGGCGGCGCGGTCCACGGTAGTGTGTGCTCACAACGGACACCGGACGGTGAAAGTGGGCTGGGGCTACTTACGAGCCGATGGCGTACATAGCTTCCTATGGGCGCCACGCGCAAACGAACATATCTTCGCCGACGCTACACTTACTTACTTAAATACATACTATAAAACAATGTCGTCCCGCTGTCTGTCTATCCCTATATACGCTTTGATCTTGAAAAATACGCACGGAACTTGAGGTGTAGGTTTATTATGTATAATATATTGCACGGTAATACATTGCACCCGTGCGAAGCCGGGGCGGGTCGCTAGTAGGTACTTAAACGGAGCTTACTATCGTAATCGGATCCTTCTCGCTCAAGAGTTTTACGGTATCGTCGAGCTACCGTGCCTCGACGTGTTTGTTTGTTGTCCGAAAACAGACCCTTCTTTACCCAGAAACTGGTGCAGTTGTCCGCTTCAAAGTCATTGCAAACATTGACGTCTAGGGTCGAAGAAATAAGACAAACACTTCAAGTATTTACGGGCATTAAGTCGCACGTCTGCTTACTCTCAAACTAAAACGTATAAGGTACTAAGTCAGGTGCTGGTCCTAGAATGCTAACGCTTTCGGACTGGTTCATTACACCAACGTTACACTTCCAAATTACAACTTAGTGCATCGTGAAATGTATGATAAAGCTGTACATTCCGTGTATGTTGGTGACGTCATGGGATTTTCTTCTTCTAATTAAAATAGACGTTTATTCCATTCAGTATTTTTTTTTTGTGATGACAAGTGATGATTCACGTAA